TTTCTAGGGTCGGGTCCTCCTCTGAATTTTACAATTAAGATTAAGCTAAGTGCACTGAGAAAAACAAGCAAACTTTTCCCTTTACAGAATAAGTATCTAGATTATATCATCTGAGTATGCTATATAGTAAAACAAAATGTTATAGAGCTTATTCATTAGAAGTGCGGGCCATGCTCTGGCACTGCTTAGCTTCATATCTCAGCCCTGTTTGCTAACTGTGTAGACTTTAAGCAAGGTAGATATGCTTTGTAACCATTAGTTTCTTCTTTAAACGGTAATGAAAGTCCATATCCCTTCTTTTAAGTTGAAATGAAGTTACATGTGAAAAGGACTGAGCTTTCAATAGATTTTATCTGTTATTGATGACAAAATGCACTAAAAGGGCTTGAAGTAAAGAAATAGCTGCTATCATATAATCTGTACAAAATGCCACTGAATTTCCAATTGTTCTCTTGGGAGAAGTCTTTTCATATGAGAAAATCGCACTAGAAAATATAGTCTTCATTTTCTTCAAACCCCATTTCAGAGACTATCTTAAAAGGAAAAAAATAAATAAATAAAATTTTATAAAATAATTATAAAGTGTTATCAAGTAAATGAATTTCTAATATTAATATAAAGTACTAATTAAAAATGTAAATATTTGATGAGAGATACTTTTTAAATTAGGAATTGTAAGAAGAACACGATGGCATTGGACAGAAGAAAAGAAATATGCCTTCTCTACACATGCTCATACAAACTAAAATGGGTGGAGTTTGATAATTTCCCAAATTGCTGCATAAAATAAGATCCCCATTCTCCTCCCTTCAGCTGACTGCATTGGACATGGATGGAGTAATAAATTGTAATTTTGATAAACCACTGAAATCAGGTGTTGTTTTCAAACAGAAATCAGTGGGGTAGCAGATGAGGGTAAATGGGATCAAATATAAGGTGGTGAAGGTGAACACACAACGTGATATATAGATGATGTATTACAGAATTGTACACCTGAAACCTATATAATTTTACTAACCTTTGTCACTCCAATAAATTGAAAAAAAATCGCTTTACCTTAGTACAATAGTTACAGAAGTAGCAGCATCCCCTAACACATTCTAATGTTAGTGTTTAACCATATGGATTCTACAGGAAAATAGAAAGTTTAAGGTATTTTTAAGAGAGTAATTACATATAAAACCATGAAAATTATGCTGGGAGAAGGGAACTAAAGATAGCGGATTGATCATGGATATTTAAAAGATTGAGAGTTAATTGACCGATAATCCCAATGAGTTCATGAAAAATTAGATTAGAGGAAAATTGAATGATAGGTAGGGTCATTAGTGATTTTAAGAATCTTCTGTATAGCTTAATGCACAAAATGATCCTTTGACTAACCAAGGCAGTGTGCCAGGTTGCTAAACATATTGTTTACATGGAAGCTGCTCTAGGAAATCAGGAGGGAAAGAGCAACAGTGGATGAAAGTCTTCAATGAAAGAAAAGATTTACCAGAGAAAGCTGGAATATGATACCAAAAGAGAAGAAACAGCAGTTGGTGGTGAGGTGAGACATGCTTAAAAGAAAAGATACATTTACAAGATGTGAGGAGCACTTTCAGAAGTTTGGATCATGGAAAATATATACAGCATTATGAGGATAGTTCAGGAGGCCACGAAAGACACACACACACACACACACACACACACACACACACATAAGCACACACAGCATACACATATTGTAAATGTGATCCTGTCAATGTGAGGAGAAAAATAATTGTGAATAGTAGAAATCTGGAAGAGTAATCCAATATAAGATGCAAAGTCAATATTTCATATGGTCAATTAGTAGTGGTGGCTGGAGCAAATATAACGCAGTAGTTGGAATAAGCAAGCAAATAAGAGACATCCAGTCCTCATGACAAGAGGCATTGGCAGTTACTCTTGAGTGTAAGGAAGTGAGCAATACATTACTGTAACATTTGTATTACAATATTCCTCTTTGGGAAAGAACTGTCTTTTATTTGCGGTGGAGCAGGGGCTCTTCTTAAGTTCCATGGAGTAAAATGTGAAACCTTGACATCATGAATACAACAGAAATCTTTGCTGAAATGAATAAATAGTAAGTGTGTTCTGCTTGAGTAATGAGAATTACTTTTAGAGTTGGGTTTGGGACAGCAGAGTACAAAAAAGTATGGATGAATGAGATCTTGGGAGACAGTGTGAAAGGCCAGGAGAACTCACAAAACAAACAAACAAACAAACAAACAAACAAACAAATAAATAAATAAATATATAAAAACAAGATTTCACAATATACAGCTTGATTTTGCTTTGCTATTTTTTTGTGATCCCTTTCCTCTGACTCCAAGATCTTCATTAAAACCTTTTAATTAATACCTTGCATGTGTGTATTTTTGGCAGCAGGTAGAATTTTAGGAAAAGCCTCATTTTCTCACCTCAGTCAACAACAGCATTTGGTCTAAAAATATAATGAAAAGCATGGAAACAGCACTCTAGAATCAGAGGTCACCATGAAAACATGATCCTTTAAAACCCTTGAAAACTTGAAAAGGAATTTAGATTTCTATGGCTTGTGGACACTGGATTTAAGCCAATATCATAGAGATCTACAGGAACAAAGTGCCCTGTGCTGGCATAGGATTTATATAAATAGAATCACTGGAGTCATCATCGCAGGTTTGGACTTGCCCTCTTTTCACTGACCCAACATTCTCCACTGTCTCCCAATGGAGGGATCTCAATCACTACACGCCACCATCTTATACAGTTGTTACTATTGTTATCCTCATTTTGTAGATAAGAGAATTAAGCTTGGAAAGACTGAATAACTTGCCAAATTTTAGAAAGTTGGTGATTAACAACATCAAGCTCTGAGCCAAGGCCTCCCTATCTCCAAATTCTCTTAGCTTAATGCCTACATTAAAGCAGTCCTTCAAATATTAAATACACATATTGATTGTGGAACTTGGATTTTTAATCTTACATTAATGTGAATTAAATAAGACCATATTATATTTTACACACAGAAGGTCTTATTTATAGAGATATAAAACCAAATGGTGTTTCACTTAATATTTATTGTGCATCCTCTGTGTCTAGCACTAGGCTACAAATCAGGATATTTGCTGTCTTTTATTCTGAAAATCTGAAAGTCCTGACCTGTAATTAATGGAATATGTGCTTTCAGCCTATTGGTGCCACTGATGGGTGCTCATTGTTGTATTTAAAGATGGCTGTTGGAACAGCTGGTGCTAACTGAGGCTGAGGTACAATGCGAACTAACTGGGTCACGGTATCATCATTACCCTGCTTTAGCTTACTTTAGCCACATATCAAACAAATTACCACATGACTTCTGCTATCATTAAAAATCCTTTTGTCAGAGCTTCAATTGGGTTATTTTTTTAGCATTCTTTTCTGTTTTTTTCTTTTTAGCTGAGCCATCCTGCCACCTGTTGGCAGCTCAGCGGCAACTCAGCTTGGGTCGGGCATCGAACCGCTGTTGCTCAGAGCTCAAACTCTTGTGCGAGCTCTTAACCAACTGAGCCACTTGGCCGGCCCTTGGGCTATTTTCTGAAGAAATGTTTACAACATCTACTTATTTCATTTTAAACATCTATGACACATGACTCTCCCTGGATTCCCATAGGGCCAATACTTTTGGACTGGAAACATTGATTTTCCATAAGTATAACCAGTTTTATGATAAAGATATTTACACAAAGGATACCAGACCTCCATTATCATGCACAGAGCATCTTATTCCTGAAAACAAAGCACCCTATGTGAAAAGACCAAGTGGTGATGAGTTAGAAGTTGGAAGTTTTATTCATAACTATATTATTTAAAATCATGTGATCCCCCCATGAAATCACTTTCCCTCTCTGAAGCCTTGTTTCCTCATCTGTAAATTGAGACCAATATTTCTGCTTCTATAGATTATAAAGATGCTCTGAGCATCAGTTGACAAATTATGTGAAATTTACCTGAAAACTGCTCTTCAAATATATACTGCTTGGCCCACAGCATGCATTCAATATATGTGTGCTGACCGAATGGAGATTTTATTATCACTTTTGTATCCAGGACTGAAGTGCTTTAATTCATTGTAGACACAGACAACTAGTATTTGAAGGTAGCAGGGTGGCTCATTTGGATTTGACAGATAATCAGATTGCACTGCCCAGTGTAATTATATATCTTCATGGGGAACTAAATTTATTATAGAAGATGAAGTGTGATTTGCAGAGCCTTTAGTCTAGCACTAAGCACAAAAATGGAAACTTAACTCAATGAAATGTAATAGAAAATGGAGCCAAGTTGTAGTAAGTTTTTGCCACTGAAGCACTAACCCCTCAGATTACTCCTTTTAATACATATTTTGTAAATGTTCAGTAGATATAAATAAGGGAAAGGATTCCATAAATTTTAGGGAAATAGAAAAGCTTCAGACCACATGTGGCTAAACCCTAAAATCAATAAAAGCCATTTGCTAAAGTAATGATTGTAAAATTATTTTTAATTATATCACTACAGTTATTATATTGATTCTATGCATGCATGTATAAAGGAAATAAGAAATCAAGCTGCCTAATCAGCATTTGGATTTTTCATTGCAATTGCTTTCCTCATCAACTTGCCATTTTCTATAGCTCCCCTAGGTTAATGTGGTATGTTTTTCCTGAGTGATATTCTTTTTTTTTTCAAAGGTTTTATTGGAAAATTGGGGGAGGGTAACAGCGCTGGGGGACTGGGGGAAGGGGAACAGACAAGTTGCTGTCATTTTATTCTTCTGTCTAGTTGTGGAGGACGTTGCTTCACTGGCCCATGTTGGGATTATCATTGCACTCTTACTGGGCGAGGCAGATAGGTCGCTGGCTTCTGGACGGCCACTCACGGTGGCTGCTGGCTACACAGGGTAGTTTATGGCAAACCACTGCCATAGGGGCTGCAGCCCACGCCATTGTCGCCAGTGACTCACGGCAGCCCAGCTCCAGGTTGAGCTGTTGTTCACCATCTTAGCTGTAGAGGGCAGTGTCACTGGCCCTCATGTGGGACCTGAACCAGGGCCCTGCTGCTCAGAGCTGGTGTCCCAAGCCAGCTCTTAACCAATGCGCCATTCAGTCGATCCCTGAGTGATATTCTTGAGCAAAATTCTGGTGGCTAAGATATTCCAATTATTCTTAAGTCACTATGTTGGTCTCCAGCCCCCAAACTCCTAAGTTTCTAGAATTCTAACCCCATCATGATCTTTCATGCAGATCTGCTATTCTCTCTTCAGATAATGTTCATCTGAGCTGTCAGGAAGAAGCATCTTGAAATTTTAGGGAACGTGTTCGATCAGACAGGGACCTCCTCAGGCACCAACTAGATATTGGCAATTTTCCCTATTCTGTTTAACATATTTCAACCAACAGTTATTGTGTGACTCCTGTGTATAATGTCCTCCATTCCTTTTCATTAAAATGAGGAGAAATGAAAATGCATGAATATTTCTTTTAAAATAAGTTGTTATAGATGATAAAAAAAAATGCAGAAAACTGCAATGGGAGATATCAGTTCTGAGTAGTGGAATCTAGAGAAACGTATGAATGAAGAGAGTCATCTGGCAATGTGAAAGGTGCATAGAATTGGGAAGTCAGATAGGAGTAACAGTGAAGCTAAGGAGAGGGAACAAGAGGTCCATCCTATATTGAGGATGGGTTGAGGTAAAGAAGTGGGTAATGAGGTGAAAAGTTAGTGTGGCGTATAACAACATTCTGTTTGAAAAGAATAGATAGAATAAAGCTTTGTGATTGATTTTAAATTCAAACATTACAAAACAAAGAAAAAATAGTGCTGGTGAGTGCTACGCAAGTGAGGTGTGTGAACCCATGCCCACGCATTGTGTGTTAACATTCAATGACACCAAACATTGAAAATCTTTGCAGCACTTTGACATGAATTTTTATATCTAATTTTACTAAATGACGTTTTTATTTGGAGTACTTATAGATTCACATGCACCCGTAAGACTAGTATAGAGAGATCAATTGCCCCCAATAACTTGTGAAACTCCAAGACAATATGGTAACCAGGATATTGAAATGATAGTCAAAATATGAACATGCCCATTGCATGAAGTTCCCACACGTTGCCCTTTCATATCTGCACCCATTTCCTTCTTGCTCCTGTCCTTTCCTTAACCGCTGGCCACCACCAACTTGTTCACCATTTCTGTAATTCTGTCCCTTTCAAGAATGTTCTGTTACTGGAATGATACAGTATGGAAACTTTGGAATTCTAGTAATAAAAAATGATGTTTGAACTTATGTTGTTTTTTTTTTATTCCATGTTTCTGCTAATTTGTTCTCATTGCATTTTATCAAAATATTGGCCCTTGATAAATTTGGGGAACCAGTCCTGGGAAGCACTGGTGTGGTGCGGTGGCAGCATGTAATGAAAGAGGATATGTGGAAGCAACAAAGCAGAAGGCCAGAGAAATGTGCCTGAGTGGTCAGGCTGGGCTCTCAATTATTTATTAGCCATGGGAAATGAGTGAGGCTTTCTGAAGCTCCCGCTGCTCCTTTAACTTGTCATCCTCCTCCACTACTGCTGCTGCTGGAGAGTATCCCTGGAGGCTGTGTTCATTGACAATTCACACTGAAAGTGACAACCTTAACAGCAATGCTCCCAACAGCAGCTACCACAGTGTTTTTCATCTAACTGGACTCCTCAGCATTCAACTCTTCTCTAACTTCCTTAATGTCAGTTTCTCTTATTCATTTCATATGTCTCTGATATACCCTTGCTATCCTATGTGTTGACTACTGCTTCTAAAAATTACCATTACATGTTCTATCCCTAAAGTCACATCCCTAACCAACTGGTTACAAATTTGGTTTTGGCCACGGATCTCACTGAAAATATGGGGAAAATGGTGCATGAACACCCCCCTTTCAAAATGCCCATAAACACATGCACTGAAAAGTTGACTATACATTTGTCTACTACATATATAATTTATTTTGTCTCTTTTTGTTTTTAATAAATAGGGTACTATCTAATAAGCCAGGATGAACATCAACTTTGTATCAGTTAAGGTAACATCCCTTAAAAGGGCAAGATATATAGTTATATGTGAATCTTTGAAAATAGTCTGTCCACACCAGATTGGAAGATAGAGGTTGTTGATTTTCCACAGGAAAAAAGTAAGACAGTTTATGTTTTTAGGCAATAGTAGAATGCTACTTTATCTCTAAGGCTGTCAGAAAAGGGCTCCGACTCCTTGGAAAGAAACTGTTAGACCCCATCTAGCCCAACACTTTTACAGCTATCTTCTACCTTGAGAAGAGCAGATGAACTAAAATCAGTGATTGCTAAGGGCTGCAACCATACAATTCCAAGCCTGAGGCAAATATAGGGGTGCTTATGAGGAGTGCTTCAGAAAGGGTATGTCGAACATTTCTGTATCTGTGTGACACGTAGGAGTTGGGTGCCATGTGGCATGTAGAAGTCAGATGTCAGATATCTGAAGATTTTGTGAAAAAATTCTGAGGTGGGAAGTAAGAGGCAAGATTCAAGGGTAGACATTTGTACTGCTTGCCATTGAGGAATTCAAAGGGGTATTGAAAAAATGAAATAGATATGACTTTGTATTTCAAGTTACCTCTTAGCCATAAATAATATAATAGCTATTCAATGAATTAACTAAACATTTATTCTTCTCCTGAGCTTATGTTTAGATGAAAAACTAATAACCAGTTGATGAAAAAATCCCAGAAAGTGAAAATCAACAATTATAATTTAATTTTGCTCAAAAATTTTTTCAATGCATTTATAATAACTTGATTAAATAGTTAAAGACAGTATGCATATCATCTTTTTAGTTTACCTAGAAAAACATTCTCATTTTTATCAACATTCTGAAAACATATTGGGCAGCAAATGGGATCAGAAAGATTTCTCTCGTTTCACTTTGCAATATGAGCTGAATACCATTTCTAGAATTCAACAAAGTTCAAATTGAAGCCATGTTGCTTTAATTTCTCAAGTTGCTCTTTGTCCTCAAGTCAATGGTGAAGCCACCAATAGCAAGTTCTACTTCTTTTCTATAATAACCCCACACTTTTATTTTAATGTAACCTAAACAACAACAACAGAAAGGACAGTATTTTCAGGTGTCTGCAATTATCTGCCTGCCAAAGGAATTTATAAGAATCTATCACCCTTGAACCTGGTGCATATCCATAACACTGGACAGTTCATGTAGTTTCTTTAATCTCCTCTTCCAGATTAACATTTCAATCAAGAGTTTATAGTTTATCAGCATCATCCGTAATCCTGAATGCAGAGTCTTAAATAAAGGATAAATTATTTATGTAATCAAAACATGGCCTAAGTCAAATGGTATCAACGTGCTAATTCCTGAGTTTCACCCCAAAAGCAGAAACTCTGGAAGTGGGACCCAGAAGCCTGTGCTGTGACATGCCCTACTGGTGATCCTGCTGCACACTACAATTTGAAATCCATTGCTCTAAGTTAACACTCTTCTAAGTACACCTTGCTGTAAAAGAACTCCCTCTGGCCAAATTGTCCTAAGAAGGCAATTTCTTTTCCTTCTCAAAATAAAAGATAAAACATCTACTTGAATTGCAATCAAGTTCTTTATCACTTTTACTCTGGAAATCCAGGAACTTTCTACATATAAATAAATAAAAATGACATATTATGTTACCATTTTATAAAAAGCAACATCCTTGATACAGAAAATAATTCACTGTCTTGGCTCTAACTAAGCTGATGACATTCAGAGTAGTCAAAGAGACATATTCCCATAGTGTTAACAGCTTTTATGATATTCGATACATGTTTCAGACTATGATTTTAAAGATGTGTGGTGTTAGCTTCATCTCCAGAGCCAGTGAGCCAGACATGGTAACAAATATCAAAGGTGCCCAACTACACACAAAGTACCCTGATTTCACTTCATTTGAAGATGTATTTCTCAAAGAAAATTTGACTCAAGTCAAACCTTTGAGACTTCAAAATTAATAAAGTGGTATGAGGACACACATAAATGTGGAAGCTCAGAAGCTGGCCACAAAGAACATTTTGAACATTCTTTTCAAACTGCATGTTGAAAAGAAAAAACAGAGTCTACTTTTCTATGACTTGTTTCAAGATATCAAAATAAATGTGATTTTGGGGGGCTGTTGGGTGGTAGTGTGTCATTTGTCAAATGACATCTCATGTAATGTGTTTCTGCCAAGTCACAAATTGACTCAGTCACTTTCACAACAAATAGCTTCACTAAATTGTACCAAATCATATGCATATATATATATATATTTTTTTTTTTCAGTTCGACTAAGTGATAAGCAAATTATAAGATGTTTTAAGGCAAGGACTGGGGCAAATCCAAGATTTAATTAGTGTCTAGCCTTCTTTCAAATTGAGCTTATTTTTCACATGTGTTTTCAGGATGGACAGTTATAAAGCATTCCTTTCATTCTGCCGGCCCCATGCTTTCATTGCTAAATGACTGGCCAAAACAGAATCACTGCAGCATTTTTACAGCATTATGTTTTGCATAGTGACTAAATCCAATAGATGAGCTTTCTTTCTCCCTTCCTCTTTCCCTCTCTTCCTTCCTTCTTTCCTTCATCCCTTCTTTCCTACTTTCTTTCCTTTCTTCCTTCCTTTAAAACTAAGTATAATTTAAAAATAAAGAGAAGATCATAATCAAAATGTCACCATAATCCAGTGGCAGCCTATATTTTTATTTAATCTAGTGGTAAAATACTGTGGAATCATATGATGGTAATAGTAATGCTATTCTTGATTTTGTACTGTAGTGTTTCTTGACAATTTAATTTGTTTGCAGAAAAACAATGTATTAAAATAGATGCATAAGGCTATACATAAGATTGTAGTTCTTATCCCTAGATAATTGGATTCAGAGAAAGTTTACAGAGCAGGGATGGGAGAATATATGCTCCACTTTATATCCCTCTAC